TTCCGTTCTTTCTTCCATTTCGGCGATTTCTTCATAGATGGCTGTGACATCTATTTCGTCAATGCTTTCGAAATATCTATTACTTAAGTTTCTAGTATCCATGTGAATGCTTTGAAGGGATCTATACTTTATTTGAATTTTGTTTCTATTCGAACTATCATCATATTCTTTCACTACGTTTTCTAACCTAGTTATTTTCTCTTTTAACGAAGTTTTATTTCTATCTAATGTTCCATCCAGCATATTCTATCTATTCTATCCAGCATTTTGTTCATTTCTCTGTCTGTGCTGTCCATGTACTATGATTCTAAACTAATGAGTGGACTGTATAGCAAATGAATTAATTTATTAACAGTAATTAACTCCATTCAGATCTATTACATGCTCTGGCATGTTGCTTAGCCCAATCCAGATGGTTAAGTGAGAGTTTCTCTCCCTATCCAATAGGTGGCGTTGTGTTCCAACTTAACAGCTCCTTTGGACTAAAAATATTTTAGTCATTTGTGTTGCAGCCTTTCATTAGTCGTGTAGTTTCATAGTTGAAGTCAGCATTGAGTATTACATTATCTGTTGGTGTTTAAATTTTGTAACACTGACATATTTTTTCATTGTTTACTGTTTTTGAAGAGTCAGTATGATTTTTTAATATTAAAGACAGATATGTTCGTTTCATTTTATGGAAGCTGAATGCTTTTTGTAATTTAGAAAAAGCTTACGGCAGATCTCATTTCTGTGGAAGCAGAATAGATTACCAGATCTCTTTTCGTTTCTTAGTGCTGTATGGAACCATAAAGAAATGAGTAGGCTGTGGCTCGAGGTCTACTTCAGCCTGACAGCAAATCCATCCTAGTATAGCTTTGGCCCATTAATTCTTACTATTGCATGAGCAGAAATAGTTGCTTAAAAGAGTTGCCTAATTTGTAAAAAGTAAGGTTCAGTCTTGTAGTTGTGCGTTTAATGAATTTAATTTGAGCATTTCAAGCTTTGAAACACATCTTTCATTGATGATCATGTCATCAATGAAGATAATTCTAAGAACATATATTAAATAAAAATCTAACGGGAATGCATATAAGAAAATATGCTACTTGGGTCTCTTTGAATTTTACTTGCGTCTTCATATTTTTCAGGTGATTATATTAACTAATAGTATATTTTATAAATTCTAATATATGAAAGTTTAAAAAAAAAATCCCCCCCTTGGGGATCTGTACTTGAGTTTTTCTAATCTTTCTTTTCCTACTCTAAATTGTCAAATAAGAAAATATTCAGTGGGCAATTTTTTTATATTTTGTATGCTTTGGACACAAGTTTTTCACGGCAGATGTCGTTTTAGTAATTTTATGATGCATAGTTGAAGGATGATAATGTGCAGTTTCCATTTATGTTTAACAGTTACAGTGCTGGAGAATTTGCTTGTGTGTGTGCTGAAAGTGTGCAATGAAATGTGTTGGTTTTTTTTGGGGGGAGGGGATAATAGAAATGGTTATAACTCTAATTTTTATATAAAAAGAGTAATTTTTACCAACAAAAATATTTTTTATTTTCACTTAATAGAAGAGTGTTTTGCTGTTCAAATTCCATGAATTCCGTTTTTAGGTGTAGGGCAAATTAAGTTGGATCATTTAATTCCCTTAACATTTTTCTTTACTGCGTACCTCACACTGTTGCAAGTTTCACTGATGCAGTTTTTCTAAAGAAAACTTTTACTTACTGATTGTCTTGTAGTATTTTCGGTTGCTGAACCATTCCTTCTCAATAGCATCAGTTGTGCTCTAAGTAGATTATAGTCTTGTTGACTTTTTACCCAGACAGTGTTCCAAATACGTTAAGCACTGTTCTGACAAAAATGTGAGCAACAGCTTTTTTCCAGTATTTTGGATTTTATCTTTCATCACGTTGTATATATAACATTTTGTTGAATTCATTAAGTCCATTCATAAACTTGAAATAATTGTGAATAATAGTTAGTTTATCCTTAACTTATTGTACTATTTGTAGAAATTAATGTGGCGGGATATTTTTTCCACAGAATTTTAGTCTCGGTAAGAGCATATAAGCATTATGTTACTTTTGAAATACTTTGTTTGACCGGCCTTTGCAAATTTTTGCCTAATTCAAAATATGTTTTCTATTCCTCCAAATAGTACCAGTTAGATATGTGTTTTTCTCTAACAGTGCTTTTGCAAGGTGAGGGCTTTTGAAAAAATTATCTATGAATAAATGGTATCCTTTATTCAAGTAATTTTCTAGTGTTAACAATTTTTCAAGTACTACATATCCGACACCATTCTTCTTTATCATTGTTTGACTTTGCAACTTGTTAACAAAAGAATCCCAAACAGTAGTTTCAAGCAGAATCTCAAATCATCCAGAATTTGGTCCAGAATTTATGGCATTTTTTTTTGGGAAGATACTGCTAAAGTAGAGTGACAATGAGTACCAACTAATGATTCATCTATACTTAACTGGCGTTGTTTTGTGTATTGTTCCCAAAAAGTTTTATTGACATAATCCACTAAGAAGTTGAATTTACTGCTCAGATTGTAATCTGAATGCCCTGATGGTGCCAAACTGCTATTGTCTATCATTTTCAGTTATTACACTCTATCATAGTCACTTTCAGATAAGTCAAAATTTGACCAAGTGTTTTTTGTAATTGTCAGTATAACAATTTTTACAACAGTTAAATAACTCTTACAATTCTTACAACAGTTAAAACTATTTTTAACATATTAGGCATGGGTAAATTTTGCATGGGGCAGACTTCAATGTGAATTACATGTAAACGATATAGCAGTGCAGTGTGTAAAAAGTAACAATTTATATCTGATCCTGGCATATCAAAACCAAAAACTGATATTCTGTCTGCATATAGTTAGTGGTTTTGCAGCATGTAAAGACAAAAGTGTGAAATACAACATTTGAAAACAATCCTTCAGTTCAAACATAACCCACTAGAATGAGCCACAGTTGTAGTACATCATGCCTAAGAGATTAATCCTTATCTTATTAGAAACCACAACTGAATGATATTAATTAAAACTACAATTGACTGCAACTGCTCTCAATTAACTCTTGCATGTGAAGTTTCCCAGAACGTCTGACCATTCAGACATAGGCAGGTCACCTGAATCATTTTCTACCTAGAGCTTTCCTCCCATCAATTAATGCATTGCCTATTGCTTTTGGAAGTTGTTAAATGACACACCAATCATTCTTTTGAAGCAACTGAAAGTAATTCTTTTATTTTAATGTACCTTCTTTTTTCCTTTGTAAATGTAAGTGTAAATGTTTAGCTATTGATGCCCAAAGTTGCAATCCTGTCACAAGGAGAAACCACACTGTGGTGAAAGCATCCAAGAAAGAAGTTGTCACTAAGGTAGGTTATTGTTAGTGCTGTAGCATTCTACTTGTCATTGGGGAAGCAAAACCATTTTAAGAGAAATTCGTACACACAGGCTTTTTTTTTATGTTTGAGTAAAACAGATTTGGTTGGTTCCCTTTTGATGCAATAGAGTTAATTAAAAAATTATAGTAGCAAGCAGCTACTATAACTTTTTAATTAACTCTTTATTCTACGCATTTTTGGCTAGTGCTTCACCACACTCAAATGGTTAATGGAAATATCTATTCAGTAGCTTCTTTAGCTTTAGATAACACTTTCTACTTTGAGTACTTTTATGTTCTTTATTGCACAGTTCTGTGGTAGTTAGTATCTGCTTAGTTTGTACTGCACTGATACCTGGCATGCCTGTTAACTTAGCATATAAGGCATTGTTAAATACTTTTATTTTTCAACTGTAATATCAGTTCCTTTGGTGTTAAGACGTAGGTAAGCAGTAGTTTTAACCATCTCGAGGTGAAAGCCAGTTTGATATTCAGGACTACACCATTGGGGAGGAGAGGTGTTTTTCATTAATTTTCACTGCTTAGGTAAACATTGCAACATGAAGGTTGAAGTAAAACAGAGTGGTCTTTCATAGAAACTGATTTGTTATAATTGTCATTAAATGATTTGCTCCAAGAAAAAAAATTCAGTCAACATGTGTTCAGGCTCGCATGCGAGTTGGGTTTTGAGTAAAATACATATGTTCTAAAGGGTGGTTGGAATATATATTTATTCTGTACTTAGAAATGAACTTCATGAGTTAGGGATTAGAAAATTGATATTCTGTTAAAACTTTCTGTTATAACATTTTGTAATGATGAATTATTTAATAAAACATATATGATAATTTTGATGATATGGTAGCTAATTATAAAATGCTGATTTTTTTCTCCATTCAGCACATTTCATTGGGCATTAACGTGTGGGAATAAGGTTCCTATAGAAGAAGGCTTGGAGCATCCAGAATTACCTGGTATGTTTTTTAAAATTTTTAAATTATAGTTGTTTCATACTGAAGAACATAAAGAAGGATGCAAAATCTCTATACAAAATCAGTGTTAGTATATTTTTTCCTGTGGTTCTAAATCAGTCCCCTGGTTGTGTTGCCAAATACTGGTGCAGAAATAACTGTCATTTGTTGAGTGCTATGTTTAGGATCATTAACTGTAAGAAAGGATATGGAGCTCCATTAGGAAAAAAAGGGTAATAAATGTGCTGTGATAACTAGGTGGAAGTTCTGGTCATCATCATGCAATTGTGAGTATGAATAATATTAACAATTTCTTTGGTGTGTGAAAGTGATAGATTACCCAAATTGCTGGCTATGTATAAAAATTTCGATGGAGGCAGATTAGCCCACTTATGCGTTTCCTTTTGAAAATATTATATTACTGGAGGCTTGAAATATAGCTTTGACTGTTTAATTTGTTAAGTTTCCTATGCCAGTTATGAATAACTAGTTTCTAGTAAAAATTCTTTTTCGTTTTTTAATTTCCATTTGATATATGCAATTTAACATGCGTTACTTTTTTCTTTAAGTTCTTGTAATGCAGTTATCTGGAAAATTTTATAGAAATTGTTTCGTAGTATTTTATACTGGTGGGTATTTTCTTCCGGTAATAACTTTCTCATATTTATGGATGTGCTAATAATACTTACTTAAATGCTAAGCATTTGAGCAGACAGTGTATTCATTTATAAAATATGGATTACTATAAGCATTTGAATGCTAAGCATTTGAGCAGACAGTGTATTCATTAATAAAATATGGATTACTATAAGGATGTGTAAATATACTATTTTAGCTTCAGGTAAAGAATTGTTATGAATTATTTTATAAATTAATAGTAACATTATTACTGTTTATTGTGCAGATACCTATCTGCGTTATTGAGAAAGCTCAAATATAGGACTTTTGTGAGAACTTTATTAATGCTTTACTTTAACGAGTTGGTGAGCTTCCAAGTTACCTTACTTTTATTTTCTCATGTCCACTATGTATCCGTTTTCATCTTTATGTTCTATTAAACTTTTACTTGCCAATGTTCCTCTTTTGGAACATCATGTTTAATATTTTTTTAAAAATAAACTAATAATCTGTCAGTTTGAAACAAATTAAATTACCTTTTATTGTAGAAGGTATGTTGGTTGTTTGATATAAGTTATCTTTTTAATGTGAATATTACAGCGTAGAAAAAGTTTCAGCTTTTTTTTATGATTTTTACAGTACTTAAGGGAAAAAATTTTGTAAAATTCCTAACAATTAAAATCCACCTAAATCTTTCCCCATCGTGCTTGCAAGGACGGCCTCACACAGGTCCATTTTCTTCAGAAGCAAGCAAAATATTTGCAGATTTCCCTCTTTTTATTGCTGCTTGGGGTAGGGGAATCCATGAAAACATTTAACCCCTTCGAGCCGGGTAGCGAAAACGCGTGCTTATCGCGGAGGCCGGCAGTGTCTTACGTGAGCGTCTCTCCAGGGTCGGGAGCTTTTTTGCTACTAAGCCTAAATCCATGAAATTTCCGAAGTATCAACGCATTGTTTAATAATGCTCTATAGAGTATTTAAATGGCTTATGCTTTTAGATATTTTTATATATATACTTTTAATTACCTTATTTCTTGTTTAAATGCATATTTTACACATTTAATTTTAATTACTCACCATTTTATGACTTTTAACATTATACATCTGAAAACTAAATATAATACTTAAAATTCTCTTTTCGTATAAAAGTTTAAAAACAGGGATCTACACACAGTCCTACGTTACATTCCTTGCACTTGTAATAACTCATTTGCCGTTTTGGAGGATTTTTCCGGGAATGTGAACAAACGAAGCATCGTCGTTCTCATTTCTTATCAAGCTCTTTCTGAACAAAACTTTTGGAAAATGTCTTTCAGTTAATCTTTCAGAATCAATATCTGAAATATTTGCATTATCTGCTATTTCATGCTCTGTTAAACATTTTTGACGCTTCGACATTGCAACGGTAAAAACAGAAAGAATTCACGTCTAACAAGATCTAATTATTTGCTAAAAACTGAACTGCAAACCAAAATACTCAACGCTTTAGCGCATATAAAACTTCTACTTACAATAAACAACTACCACGTGCGAATAAAGTGTGATTTAAAGAGACGTCATAAATCACGCCATTCGGAAACATTTAGTTCCCCGTTTGTTTATATAATCAAAAACGTGTATGTGAGTCATGCTTCCTTCATTTCGAGTAGAAGGTCTAATGTTCATGTAACCATATGGACATACAGTGCCATCTTGTGGCAGAAATTATAGTTTGAAAAACATTCCAGGGCACAGGCACAAATACGTGACAGTCGGTAGTAAACGGGAAAATGCTGTGTCACGCCTGCGTGTCGGCCGGGAGGTGAGTGTGTTCGTTGCTGGCACATAGTCGTGACAGTCGTCACGAAGGGGTTAAAGCTGCTTTCTTTAGTGTGTGTGGGGGGGGGGAGGGAGTTTGCCAAATGTCAGTCTAACATTGTTATGTTCTCTTTCCGTGAGAGCTGCTTTTCAAGTATTAAGGTTAGAAGTACAGCATTTCTCAAATAATTTCCAGAAATGCTATGAGCAGTTTAAAAATTAATTTTTACATTAGACTTTATGAATAACAGCTCATGAATATATATTTGCCTTTTCTTAATTAAAGCACTGTGAAGGTACCTATTTGTCTTTTTCTGGTTATATTTAGATTAAAATAGTTGTGTTCCCCCCCTCATCATTTAATATATCGAGTTAGGTGTGGACAAATGGGATCACATCAAGCACCAGTTCTTTTAAACGGCTCATTTCATTTTTTTTTTTTTTTTTTTTTTTTTTTTTTTTTTAAACTCATGAAAAAGTTCAGAATACACTGAAAATTGATATTTTTCTTGACCCATAAGCTTATTTGTATGGTTTGAAAATTTCCCCATTATTTAATTTTCTTAATATTTGTATTTCAGTCCAAGGAGTGAGTTAATATTTTTCACAGTTTGGTGCAAAATTTTATTAAGATTGCTTTCCGGTTGATCATTTAACCCTTTGTGGCACGATGTGCCTGGTCTCGGCATACCTAAAAATTTTCTTCTGTATGCACAGAAAAATTGAATGAAAAACGATTTATAGGTTACTCTGAACCTTCTTTATTTATAGTAGATGGCAGCTCAACATGAAACAGTCCATATATTTTAGCCATATTGAGTTTTTTAAGACCGTCATTTTTCAAAGAAATCTTCCAGATTTTTTTAGGGTATAAAAATAATTGCTTGAGAAGAAATTTGTGTTATTTTTTGGCTCTATGCTAGTCTTCTTATTCTACATTAGTTTTAAATTTTTGCCTTCAAATCTTGCCTAAAATTGAACGGTGAACCCCAGGTGTGCCTAGACTGGTCTCACTGATAAACTAGGGGAACTGAGAGACTGTGTATTCTTTGTTTCTCTGCATCTCATTGGTCAGTCCATTGACAACAAACAGAAAGGTGGGTCCACATCTGTGTCTCATTTCCTGTTTTTCTTTTTCTTCTTTTCTCTCTCTCTCTCTCTTTTTTTCAGTGGGGACTAACAATTATCAACTAACAAATTGTTGGGGTTATTTTCCTCAAGGTCAACAGTAATTTTATCAGTTAGCTGTTTGGTTTTTCACTAGAGCAGTTCTCTTTCGCTTTCGTTCAAAGTTTCGCTGCTTTTAATAGTTTTAAGTTGTAGATGTTTATTTAATTTGTTTTATAGTTTATAATTTCTAATTGTAGATATAATATTAGTTTATTTTTTTGAATGTTTAATTATTTTCCAAAGATATCGGAGAGGGCTGACCATTTCTCTAGCACTGAAAGTGCAACACGAATTGCTTTCAGATAGTGGATCCCGGTACATGTGCAAAACATGCAATATTTGGTTGTGCTTTTCCAAAGTTGTGTCACTTTCTTCGAAAAGTACCACCATGAAAAAATAGACTAAAGTTTAAATATGAAATATAAATAATGTAAATATCATATACTGAAGTCACTTTTTTTCCCCCACACTCATGTGCATGTAATCACTGTATAACTGAAAAAGAGCTTTTTAGAGGGGATGTAGAGTTGCAGGTCTCTCCGTGGCACTCCCTGAGTAATGCTAAATGTGCTATGGTATTCAGAATTTTAATTTTTTTTTTTTTTTTAATCGTAGGCAAAATCTCTTACTCTTTTACATGCTTCCCAGCAATGGTCATTTCAGTACGCTTTTCGAAGCTGTATTCAATCAGTGTGTCGGCTTCGGGGACATCCTCAGAATTAAAACGATTAGTGCTATCTTCACAAAATTTTACTTGTGAACTCCTCTATGCCTAAGCCTTTTTTTTTTTAATCCAACTTTAAAAGGTAGTGTGCCAGAAAGGTTTATACCAATATTTCCTTTTAAACACTATTTTAGTCATACTTATCTTTGTCTGCATTAAGTTTGTTTTAAGATTTGATTTGAAATTTGTTCAAAATATCGATAAAATATACTGGTCATACTGTTCGAAAAGCTAAAGATGGATTTCTTTGTTTTTTAAATTCTAGTGCCTTTGCTAATTAATAGACAATTTTCTGGTGAAAGAATTTAGGAAGCCATTGGTATACAGTGAGAAAACCTAGAAGCATTGCTGCTGGAAGCTCATTTTCTTAGAGCTGAGCAAAATTCAGCCTAGAATTGGCAGCAGTAATTTCACAGAATTGCTTTGTGTAATTCAATTAAAGTGCACTATAGGTCTGTCATAGTAGAGGAATGATAATCAGTAAATTATTGTTGCTCTATTATGTCTAACTTTCAGATCTATTATTGATAGAATTTTGTAAAAATAAAAGCAAGAGTGTGCCATGTGTATTTTAATTTTTCTGTTCTAGATGGAACTGGTGAGTTTTTGGATGCATGGTTGATGCTTCTTGAAAAGCTTGTAAATCCAAAAACTGTTTTAGAGTCACCACATACCTTATCATCCAAGCTTAATCAACAAGGGAGCTCAAGTTTTGACCCTGTTATGTATTTAATTCACGTTCATAAGGTAATGTGGAATTCATATCCACATTTTTTTATCCTCCCTTTGTGAATAACTTCTGTAATAATTGAATCATAATATAGCATTTTGTCAAGTTTGCTTATCATTTTGTTAATATGTTCCTATAAATAGAGAGCTTTTGAAAGCATTATGTATTTGTGGGATAGAAGACCTTTGCTTGTTTATGGAGAAAGGATTGCAGATTCTATATTAACTATAATATGCCATCTTCTAAAGGGGGAAAATGAAATAAAAGTAAGTTCATATAATTATGTTGGGGGATTTTTTTTCTCAATTTGTGCATATATATCTTAATTTTACTATTCTCTGTATTTTGACTTGTTTTTATTTGCATGTGGAATTATGAAAAGTCTAAGCGAGGGTGATTTGAGGGATCTGATTTAATATATTCAGCTAACTTTAACTTATTATTTTAAATTATTATTAATTATATAATATATTAATATTTAAATTTAAATTAAATGTAACTAATTTTATTATACATATATTTTTATTTAATTTAATTTTTATTCATGAGATACTTAGCTAAATGTAATTCATTTCACCTGTCATAGTCAGAAAAATATTTCCTACCTTCTTCTTCATAATACTTAACTAATATACATAGATTGTCTGCACAAAACAGTAAAGTTACACATTTATAAATGTATTTTGATTAATTTTATTTTGTTGGTTAACATAGCAGATATGGTCTTTCACACAGTTAAGAACCTTTTTTCCCATCCTGTGTGTTGAATTATAGACTTCATTATATATATATATATATATATATATGTATTCTATACTATGGTATGTATGTTGTTTAAAATTCAGTTCTATTTTTTTTTTAAGCTGTGTGAGTATAAGGAATTCCTAATTTTTTTTCATTCATTCATTGACTAAATTTTCAATACATTAGCTGTTAAGAATATTTCTTTTTCAGGATCTCTCTTAAGTTTGGTTATAGTTCTCAAATATGCTGTGTTTTTAGATGGCTATTTTTCCGTTTATGCAAATTACCTAAATAAATAACTGTGAAATAGGTAAATAAAAAAATGTGTGTGTATATCTATGCACGCATGCAATTTTAGATTTAAGCATGTGAGCTTTTTCTCAGAAAAGACTAATTTACAGATTATCTTCCTGTAAAGTCTCGTACATGCTGAATGAATTAAGACAGTAAGCAGGCTTGTCAGTTTGATGGATATCTTTACCATTCAGAATTTTCAGAAATAAACTAATCACAATGTTTTAGTATCTTTATATGTTGATGACCAACAAATTTAGTGTCAAGGGGCATATATGAGACAAATTGAAAGGCAATTACAGCTCCCTCTGAGCATGATTCAGGAATGGTGAGACAAACAAGGACTTATGTTTCAAAGCAGAAGACCACGTTGCTTTCGTGTAGAAATTGAGATCTCTATCTTGAACCTGATTCAGGGTTGCCACGCTACCTGGAAAACCACAAAAAGTCAGGGAATTAAAATATTTTGGTAAAAATCTTGAAAAGTCAGGTAATTTTGTATGGCGATCCCCCCAGAAAAGCAAGTTTTTTGCCAACATTGGAAGTGATCACTTTCTTGGGGAGTTTTGTATCGTGTTAGCGTCATTTGGGTAGCTGGCGTAGAGCCAATTTTCGCAGCTCCAATTAAATTGTCTAGAGAAAGCAAGTTTCCAGTAACCTTGGGAATCGAGAGACTCGCAAGTGCATGTTGAACTAAGGAAATACCTTCCCATTTTCGTATGAAACCACAGACACACTGTAAATCAGTTTGCTATTATGCCGCTAGAAAGCGGAGGGAAATATTTGCCAAGGGATTTGGTGCCGGAAACTGGCAGTGAGAATTTCTCCCTCCACGATATGTATACGAAATTGAGGAATGCATTAAGAAGAACTGTTCCTTGACAAAACATTTTCCTTGACTTTTTGCAATAATTTAAACTCGGATTTTTGCTGTTTTTTTGGCTCAAAATAACTACTCTAAGAATGAATTTACTTGTACTAAAATATTTTCTTTTCCTTTAAAGTTTAAAGAAATTTGAAATGATATTCATTTTATGAGCTCTTGACAAACATGACCTTTGAACTTTGGTGACATATTTTGGGCATGCACAGCTGTTTTCCTCTACGTTGGGATGGAGGCACACCTGTTGCCGAGAAGTTTTCCTTCTTAATAATACATATTCTTTGTAACAATTTTCAAAATCATGTCAAGGAAGCAGCATAAACTAAAATTTTAATAATTTATTTATTTTCCATTTTGCAGCAAAATATGAAGATAGTAATCGGTCATATGGGCTAACCATTTAATATAACTACATATGCTAAAATATCGTTGATTATTGTAATTCAGTTTTTAAGTAATTAACTTTAATTTAACGCTTTTGGATTCCAGTGTTAGAATCACTGTTGCTGTAAAATTTCAACAGCTTTTCTTTATTGTTCGGTATATCACCTCCCTACATCTTTAGCTGAATTTCCACTTTTTCATTACCGTCAATGCAACGTGTTTACGTTTTTTACGTCGCAAGCAGTAAAATCACAAGTGCATTTCTTATCTGTCATTGTATTAAAAAGCATTGAAATTTGAAATATTCTTAATATATCCACAAAATATCCGGATAAAAAAACGACATTAGTAAACAATCTCGTGAAATAACAAAGCTCAGAAAGTACGAGAACGTGAAGTGTGAACTTGAAAGAAGAGTTAATTGTACCTTGATGTAGATTGGAGGCAGGGGAAAACTCTTATCATGATGTCAATAATTTGGTATTTCCATTATGATTCATTATTATTCAGTAATTATGACGTCATTATCCAGTAAGTATTTTTTCTTCGATATTTTGTACTCCATGTTGCGATTTCCAGATTCTGTAAACTAAATATTTATATTTTGAGAGGCAACGCGGATTTCAGGAATGGGAGGATTTTCGGTATTTGACTGTATAAGGTAGAGGGACCAAAAATTGACCATAGGAAAAGCTTCAGAATAAGGGATATTTTGGTTTGGCCTTCATGCAAACCTGCTTATAAGACGAAATTTTTTTTTTTTTTTTTTTTTCTAAATCCAGATTGGGCAGATTCTAATCAGCCTTCAGTGGAGAAAACAATTATTTTAGCTATAATAGTAATTCTTTGGGGAACTATACACATATTTATATAGTATATGCAAGTCATGTAATTGGCAAATTTTTGTGTTTTCAAGTGGTACCATAATTAATTTACCTCTCAGCACAACCTACACGCTTTATGCAGTTAGACTGAAAATTTCTTAAAACGCAGCTGGAAAAGTCGGGGAATTTTACTCTCTTGTTTGAGTGGCAACCCTACTGATTTACATTTTCATGAATCAGGAATTCCATAGTAAAGTTTTCAGGTGTTATGTTCGATGGAAAACTGACCCTCCTTCCTCATGTCCTATATTTAAAGAATACTAGAATATTAAACCTTTCTAAAAGTCCTGGTGAACACCTGGAATTCAGATCAGTGCTCTTTATTTCACTTTGATAGATCACTTTTCTTCTCTTGATTGGGCTTTGTTGTTGGTGGCTCTTCATGGTCTTCAGTTTTGTTGAAAGTAGATCTAGTTAATCAACAGATCTGCGATTTTGTTTTTAAGTGTTCAGAACATCTCCTGTCGAGAACCTTCATGTTGACTGTTATAAATCTCTCCAGTTGAGGCATGAAAAATTGTCTGTTTTGCATTATTTTAATATGTTGTCTCAACCTGACCATCTTAGTAAGCTATATTTCCTTCGTGACCTATTTGAAGCAGGACTATCTTGTCTGCTTTTTCTTTCAGGATGAGTTCACCCGAGCAGTAGAGCATTTTGAAATCCCGAACTGGGAGTATACACAAGTCCAGATTCTTGATGTTTTCCACCATCACAAAAGAAAAATTAACAAGACTGCGCAAAAACATTTTCTTTATCACATACATAAATATAACAGCCATATTCTCTTACATACAGATGGATTAAAAACAACTTGATGATGTCGCTTGCTCAGTCTTGATATCTGATCTAACTGCTGTGTATTATGCACTATTGTTCATTTCAAAACTATGCCAGAGAAAGTTCATAGTATACTGTGTTTAAAGCTTTAGAAATATTTTCCAACACTCATAGTTCTGCAGTTTTTGAAGTTTTAAACTTACAGCTGTGTGGATATCAAATTCTATACTTGTAGGTTCGTGGTCATGTAGGGGGTCAAGCAAAATGAGCTGGCAGATGTGACAGCTAATCTGATGTTGATTTCTGCAGTGGGCATGCTGCATTTATGGCTATCCACAGGTCCATTAGGGAAAAGGCCTAAATTAGTGGCAGCTAGTAAGGAATCGCTGTTCAATAGCAAGCTGAAAGCTGTAGTGGAATGATGGGAATTCATCCATTAGAAACTGAAGAGACGAAGTAAAGAGATCCTAACTTCTTATTGGTCACTCTTCTGTCACACACTGTTATCTTTTGAATATCAAGAATGAACCTGTATGTTTTCATTATGATAGTGCTGTGTCAGTGCTTCTCTTTTTATTAGACTTCAATTGAAGCTGTTTAATGTTCCTGACTTGTTAAGAAAGAGACCAGTGCTAATTTATTTCAGTATCTGGGAAAGATAGGTCTTTATTTAGTTTGACTTTTTGTTGTCTATGTATTTTAATGTATCTGATGTTTTATGATCTTACTCCTGTTTCACATCTGACAGCATTATTTAAATTAAAAGTAACTTTATGTGAGCATTCATCATTTTATTACTTCTTTTAACTTTATAAATCGCCTGTTTTAAACTAGCATTCGGCAGTAGGTGTCACCTGTATCTAATTTGCTGTAATTAACAGATTTGGCACTTGTAATCACTTCAGGTTGTGTACCGTAAAATCCACTACCACACACCACCATTTAGAATCATCGTATGCTTTGGTCCATTAATACACCATATCATGAATGAAAAGAAAAAGCTTTTCAGTATATAGTATCGTGGAACTTACATACTGAAAACATGATGTCTAGTAACCTCTCTACAAATAGCAGTTGACTGTCATTATGCCATTGTCTAGAGCTAGTAGCTGAGAATATCCGTCAGTCTATCAATTAATGATGATACCTTACAGATTCTCCCCACCACCACAAAGATATCTTCTATATACATTTCTGTGCGTCATTTCCTTTCATATCATGTAATCCAGTGATTCTCAACCTGTGGGGTGCGCCCCCCTAGGGGGCGTGAGCACACTAATTGGGGGGCGCAAGCATATCCAGGAGAAAATTTTATTTACAAAAATTAAGTTGTAAGGATCCTAAGTTTTACTAACGTCTATTTTATTTTAAAATTGTACTATCACTTCTTATTTTCTACTTCTGGCCGGAATTAAATGCTTTAACTTGTTTATGCAAATTGTCTTGCTAAGGCCAAGTACTTAAGTTGTGACTTTTTGCCAAGAGAGAGAGAGAAGGAGTTTTAGGAAGCAAGCCGCTTGCCACTGTAGTTTTACGAGTTTTCACTCGGTTTCTGGTTGCCTTTAAGGCTAGAGGTTTAGCTCTCTTGATATTTGCAGACGTATCGTAGTTTTAGCAGCTTGGCGTACTACATACGTACCTTTTTTAAATAAAGGCCAGTCTTAGTGCTAGGCATTTGTATACTAATTCAAAGTTAGGTTTTAGTTAGAGTTTTACTTGGTAGTTTTTATATTTTTACGTTCAGACCACAAGTGGTTGGTCTCTGTATTCCGAGGTTCGGAAATACCTGTAAAGTATTGAAAATAAAGGGTTTCGTTCACCCTTCCTGCTTGTGTTGTCTACTTCACACCTTCCTGAACATAGCTTGAGTAAGCTCCCTGTTCCTATTCAGGACCATTCATGTTTCCAAAGCAAATCAAGAGAAACACAAGTCCTGACAAAGTGACTGAAAGGAAAGAACACACACACACATATACAAAACAAAATACATTTCGACATATTTAATAATTAACTTATTAAATTAAAACAACTGACTAAGTTAAAGAAAGTGGTCCTGGGCTAAAAAAGTGGTGATACCGAGCTTCACCGAGATTTACGAAGATTTACAAAAGGTGAAAACATTTTCTACGCTTAAAGTGAAAACAGGTAGACCTTGAAAGCATTTGAAGTACCGAAAAGGTGTGTTGTCGTTTGAAGCCAAGGATGATATGAGGTTTATTTCTTTTTTGTTTTGTTTTGTTTAAAATTATATTTTTACTGTAGTAGTTTCATATTGAAGTTAATAAACATTAGTTGCTTACAGAATGTTGTATTTTCAGCATGTAGTAAATAAATTATTGCTCGAAAAACGATGTTATTTTCCAATTCTAAGAGCTATTTAGCAGGATATTTTGAAAAATGAATTAAATTATTCTTAAAGAAATAAAGGTTAGCTCATGATCATCCATTGAATTCTAATGTTATTGCACCAATTCTTTAGAAAATTGAAAGTGGGAGATTTGCTTATAAATCCCTCTATTTCAGTGATTCTGAACCTGTGGGGCAGAAGGGGCGCGAGCATATCCAAGAGAAAATGTTATTTAAAAAAAATTGATTGACTGAAAGGAAAGAACACACACATACAAAACAAAATACATTTCGACATATTTAATAATTAACTTATTAAATTAAAACAACTTACTAAATTAAAAACAAACTTAATAATTATTAGTGACTTCCTTGGGCCTGTCTTGCAGAGCAAAGTTTTTCGAAGGAGGGTTTAATATTAGAAATAGACACTCTCAGTTCTTTTTCTATATTTAGCTGAGATCTATATTTTGTCTTCAAAGAAGCCACAGAAATCGCAGAAAATCCAGTTTCACAAAGGTAAGATGTTGAAAATGGTAGTAGAATGCGAAATGCCCTTGTTTTTAGTGCAGAAAACTCATCATCCACTCCTGCCCAAAATTCAAAGAGTGATTTATTACTAAATTGTCTTTTGGTTTCGCCGCTTGCCATGAAGTCTATGAAGGTTTCTTCCTGTTCAGTTGAGACTCCTTCGGGAGTATTTTGAAATGGATCCCTCACCCTTTTGTAACTTGATATCAATTTGTCGTCAGCAAGAAAGTACTTTTTAAAATTCTTTGCTAGCATTGCTAAATGATTTTCAAAGGTTACAAAAACAACTTTTACATGTTGTTCTTCAGCCTTGTAAGTTTTAATACAATCATTCAAATTTGCAAACATTGTTAAGTTTTCTTGCTTTAAATTTCTGCTCCACAATTCCAATTTCCTACAAAAAGCATTTACTTTATCACTCGTATCCAATATATGTGTATTTGCTCCTTGCAGTTAAAGATTCAAGTTATTTAATTTCTCGAATATGTCGACCATGTAGCTCAATTTCATCACAAATAAACTATCGCGAAAATTCTCAGCTTCCAGTCTGTTTTCCTCTTTTAGGAAAATGGCAATTTCTTCTCTTAATTCATTAACACGTTGCAAAAATTTCCCTCGTGATAACCATCTTGCCTCGCAATAAAATAGTAACGCGGAATATACTGCACCCATGTCTTTACAAAGTGCGGAAAAGATTCTTGATTTCAGGGGTCTCATTATTCTATAATTTACTAAGGTTACAACCGTAGTTAACACAATATTCAAACCAGGACTCATTTCTTTGGAAGCCAAAGCTTCTCTGTGGATCATGCAATGTGTCCAGACGCACTGTGGGGATTTTTGCTTCACAAGTGCTTGAATACTTCCGGACATAGAACGAGCACCATCGGTGCATATTCCGACACTATTTTTCCATTCTATGTTTGCCTCGTTCATAAAATCATTTAAGATAGCAAATAATGCGAATACTGTTGCTTTGAGTTCTATTGGTTTGCAGAAAAGTAATTCTTCTACTAGTGACAAATCATCACAAAATCTAACATAGGCAATGAAATGAGCATCTTTATTACTATCTGTTGCCTCATCAAGTTGTATTGAAAACAATTTGTCACGTAACTTCGAGAAAAGCTGACACTCTACATCTTCAGCTATATCAGCAATTCGCTGGGCAACAGTATCATTTGAAAGAGGTATAGACTGCAATTGTTTTGCAAAATTATCTCCAAGCATAATTTCTACATTCTCAATTGCGGCTGGCAAAATAAGCTCTTCACCAATGGTGTGAGGCTTTTTACATCTGCCTATTTTATATGAAACTTTGTAAGAGGCAATTCAAGTTTTTTCATTCACTGACAGAGTTTTTTTAAACAATGATTTTTGCTCTTCATATGATTTTAATTTTAATTTGAAGAATTCTCTGGGTTTGTTTACATACTCACTATGAAGTGTTTCCAAATGTCGTTTCAGTTTATTAGGTTTCGTGTTGTCTGCCGCCAACATTTTTGAGCAAATGATACACAGGGGCCTTTCCTCTTCATTTACTTCAGTACTAGTGAACCCAAAATTTAAGTATTCTTGAGAATATTTTCTTGATTTTATTTTCGGTACCACGCTCGTCTGTGTACTTGTTGATGCTTGTCTATCGTCTAATGCTCGCTTACGGGCGCTTAAAAATTTATCCATGATTCTGCATAAGTCTGCTGTCGTGAATATTTAATACGGTGAATTGCAATTACACGAAAATATATATAACATACACATTCAGAATAGATTCAATAGCGATAGAAGGATCGACTGGAATGAGATTGTCTGGAATTGAAATTGACGTCATAGAACTTTCTCCTTCTCCCTATGAAAAAACATTTGTTCACATCTGCGCACACTCCTAACTTAACTTTTAAGCTTTTCAGATAAATCGAAACTTCTCGCGAAACCGTGAGAATGCCTGACATGGCGGGACACAAGAGCAATAAAAAGGCATAGGATTCTTGTTTTTTCAATGCTAAGGATCGCCGTTGCAAAATGTCAATAAATTTCCGTATTCTTGATAATTTGTAAAGATTAAAATTAAGGTTATAGTGTAGGTTTAGCGCCAAAATACTCAAAAAATATTATGATTGTATACATTTTATTGTGTGCGGTGGGGAGGGGGGCGTGATGAAAATTATGATTAAAAATTGGACCGTGAATACTAAAAGGTTGAGAAACACTGATGTAATCCAACATTTTGAATCTGATTGGTGGCTTAAATGAACTGTCATTAGAGAATAAGGCATTGGCTTGTTTCTGCATCATCTGATATTGGTAGCTTTTGCAGATACTGTGCCTTATTTTCCACAAACATTTGGTGCCCCCCCCCACATTCAGACCGGTTCAAGTGGGGTTTTCTAAAAATCCATTGTTTCCCTCAGTTTTTTATGAAAAGCATTTAATTATTTTTGTAAATATTTATGGATCTCATAAGATGACTGCATGGTTGGGTTTTGTGGTTTTACCCATCTATAACATGAATAAGAGCCAGTTTCACAGAAAGGCGACCTCCATGAAGACTTTGCTTCCCATGCACAGCTGTTAGCCTTGCATGCTTTGCTTTATTCAAATACCCGTGGACATGTTTAAATAATTAAATTGGTAAATGCGTGAAAAGTTTAGTTAAACCAAAATATGAATTGGTCGAATTTCAGAGTGAGATAATTCTTCCAAACATAATGAAGCTGTTGTGCCTTACAGTATCATGTGTGATTACTTTTCCACAGTAATCATGCAACATATTAAATGTATGTGCAATATTTTATTTAAAAGTGTACAGAAAATGCTTGCAAAGGTAAATAAAATATGTATTTACTTGCATGGAATAAGTATAGTGCACTTTATTTTGAAGTGTATTTATTTGTATGTAAGTAATGCAATATATTACATATTTAAATCTTAGATAATACATAGTGTATGTGTGTGAAGAAACAATGAGGGATAGTTTTTAATATTTTGTTTTTAACTGCAAATATAGGAACGATTGGTACAGAGGGAAGAAATACGGGCATATGTTTCACAGGCTCCTCCATCAAGTACAGCATCTGCTGCTACTTCTGCGAACAGAATTGTCACACGTAGTAGACGCTTACTAGAAGGAGATGATAGTAGTGTGAATCAAGATCATCTAGTTCAACTCGTAGATATGGGGTTTTCCAGAGGACTAGCAACTGAAGCTTTGCTGAGTACCAATTCTCTAGAACAAGCAACAGATTATCTTCTTAGTTACTCTGCTGCATTAGGAAGAGGCTCTACTTCTGGTGCTGCTTCGGTGAGTTTATGTGGATGATGTGTTAATTTTATTGCTTTCATATTATATATTTATTTTATTCCAACCATAAATTGAAATTTCCTGTTGCTTTATTTGTTAATGCTAGTTCTATATATATGCTTCTTTTTGCTCTCCTTAGAGGATGGTTATTCTGTATAATTTTAGTCTCACTTGTTTTGGAATAGTTCTGAAACATGCTTTCATTTACAATTTTTTTTTAATGAAAAGTAGTTTAATTATGTAGAGAAAGCATTTTCATCAAAATCTTCATCCGTGCAATTTGGAAAATGAAGGTCTTATTGATGGCCAGGGATCTTGGAGTTCTCATTGTGTGCCCAAGCGTAATTTGTAATTAAACTTAAATGCAAAAATAAATTCTTATAAAGTCTGCTTTTAATTGAAATATTTGGATTCTTCCATGTTTTTTAAATGTTATATTTTACAGTATAAGTAGAAATCCCAGTATTTGTAATTAAAAATAAAGTGCGATATAGGTAATAATGATTATACAGTACAAATTCAGAAGTCAAACAACAAAAATCAGCGTTATACCTACAAAAAAATTTTTTTTTTTTTTTTCCTTTTTTCTCAGGACTAGTTTCGACGGTTTTACCGAACCATCATCTTCAGCTGCAAAACCGCAAATGAACAAGATAGGAAATAATGATTAGATAAGATAAGAAAGCCTGGACAAGAATAAGCAAGTGGCGCCATCTGTTGGCGAAACCAGAACTAAAACATAATTTCTCTAAAAGCCGAAGGCAAATTTGGATTGGAATTAGGATCGTTAACTAGAACAGAAAGATTTTTATGAATGTGAAATGCCTCTAGAAAATCCAGTTCTCCAATGGAAGATGTTTTTTGAATAATTTTGGCAGCAGAAAATTGAAAGTGTGATTTTCGGACCAACAATGTTGAGCAACAGAAGACCTCTGTGTTTCCTTTTTTCTAACATATGTCTCATGTTCTTTGACGCGAAATTTTAAGGCTCTCTTAGTTTGGCCAATGTAAATTTAAACCACACTGGCAAGGAATCCTATAATACCCCAGGAATTCATATCGGAATGGGGGGAATGGGGTCCTTGAGTACAGAAGTTGGAATTTTATTGATGGGAGAAAAAACAACCCGAAAGTTAAATTTCTGCAAAATATGTGCAACTTTATAGCTAATTGATGGAAAGAAGGGAATGACAACAGAATTTTTATTATCTCCTAAAATAAGAGTGTGGCTTTTAGTGTGTTGAGATGAGAATTTTTTAACTGCTTGATTAATAATGTTGGGTGAAAAGCCCCTGTCAATAGCTATTGCTTTTAAATAATTTAGTTCTTCATCAAGGGCTAGTTTGGAGGAGCAAACTTGAAGAGCACAGAAAACATAGGAATAAAATGAAGCTAACTTTTGTTTAGTCGGATGACATGATTTAAAGTGTGGTGGAAGGCAAACCGATGAAGGTTTACGGTAAACTGTAGTACAGAAGTTGGATGTGTTACGTGTGACCAGAATATCGAGAAACGGAAGAGAATTGCAAGTCTCAAGTTCAAAAGTGAACTGAATAGCAGGATCAATAGAATTCATTGTTGAAAGAACTTTATTTAAATCATCTTTATTACCTTCAAACAGGGTAAAAGTATCGTCTACGTAGCGGAACCATGCCGGGAAGTTTAAAGTTTCAAACAATTTTGATTCATAATAATGCATGCAAATATCAGCCAGGATGGGACTGAGGGGGCTTCCCATGCCTAATCCCTCAGTTTGCTTGTAATATTTATTTTGGAAAACAAAATGTGTTTGTTTCAAACAGAGTTGAGTGAGAGAAATTAGCTCCTCAATTTCGATGCAAGAGAAATGAAATTCGCGAAGTCTGGTTTCTAGACATCTTAATGCACCCTCCACTGGGACATTGGTGAATAATGGATATGCAAAATCCAAATTGGCCTTGAGCAAAAGTCTTGGTTTAGAACGGAGAATGCAGTTAACCGTCATAAAAACACCCTTGCAGTTAAATTCGAAAAACTTCTTTTACAGTCTTCCAGTTCAAGTAGTTCAAAAATCTTCCCATTATAAACATCAAGCCAATAGTTAATATTTCTTATGTTAGTCTTTCAGAAGAACAAGAGAGAGAATTCTAAAATATAATTTTAACTTCTCACAAACCTGTAAACCCTCGATTCCAAAGATTTTGGCTCCTATCGAAAAAGCTTTCAAGTTCAGTAAAGTTTCAGATTCACAGAAAGAAATGATTAGGCATCTTATCGCTCATAATGTGAAATTCAATAATAAACCCTTGAAACCAAATCTAACTGCGAGAGAAAGAGCTACAATGCGCGAAATTCATTCTAACCCGGATATTATCATTTCAAAGGCCGACAAAGGTGGCCAGATAGTCGTCATGGATAAGAACACTTACATCGATGGTGTCACTAAACTCTTTTAAACGAAGGACCATATAATCCGATCCCTAAAGATCCTTCACCTTCGGACTTATCCAAAATAAAAACTGCGATCAAATCTTCGCAAATCATTTCAAGCAACTTAAAACATTCGCTTATCCCATCTGTTGCGAATTGTGCCAGATTTATATGCTCTTCCCAAAATTCATAAAAGTGGTATTCCTTTCCGCCCTATTGTATCAAAATTTAGGTACTGCCTCATATCCTTTAGCTAAATATTTAGTTTTTCTAGATTTTCTACTCTATTAGACAATAAACATTTACGCCATAAAAAATTGAATAGAGTTTGTAAAAAGGTTAAAAACATTTTTTTCTCCTAGTAATTTACTCATGGTTTCTTTTGATGTAAAATCATTATTCACCAATGTCCCAGTGGAGGGTGCATTAAGATGTCTAGAAACCAGACTTCGCGAATTTCATTTTCTCTTGCATCGAAATTGATGAGCTAATTTCTCTCACTCAACTCTGTTTGAAACAAACACATTTTGTTTTCCAAAATAAATATTACAAGCAAACGAGGGATTAAACCATGGGAAGTCCCTAGCCCATCCTGTTGATATCTACATGATTATATGAATCAAATTGTTGAAACTTTAACTTCCCGGCATGGTTCGCTACGTAGACGATACTTTTACCTGTTGAAGGTAATAAAGATGATTTAAATAAAGTTCTTTCAACAATGAATTCTATTGATCCTGCTATTCAGTTCACTTTTGAACTTGAGACTGCAATTTCTTCGGTTTCTCGACATTCTGGTCACACGTAACACATCCAACTTCTGTACTACAGTTTACCGTAAACCTCATCGGTTGCCTTCCACCACACTTTAAATCATGTCATCCGAGACTAAACAAAAGTTAGCTTCATTTTATCCTATGTTTTCTGTGCTCTTCAAGTTTGCTCCTCCAAACTAGCCCTTGATGACGAACTAAATTATTTAAAAGCAATAGCTATTGACAGGGGTTTTCACCCAACATTATTAATCAAGCAGTTAAAAATTCCATCTCAACACACTAAAAAGCCACACTCTTATTTTAGGAGATTAATAAAATTCTGTTGTCATTCCCTTCTTTCCATCAATTAGCTATAAAGTGCACATATTTTGCAGAATTTAACTTTCGGGTTGTTGTTTATTCTCCCATCAATAAAATTCCACTTCTTACTCAAGGACCCCATTCCGGATATGAATTCCTGGGGTATTTATAGGATTCCTTGCCAGTGTGGTTTAATTTACATTGGCCAAACTAAGAGAGCTTAAAATTTCGCGTCAAAGAACATGAGCATATGTTAGAAAAAAGGAAACACAGAAGTCTTCTGTTGCTCAACATTGTTGGTCCGAAAATCACACTTTCAATTTTTCTGCTGCCACAATTATTCAAAAAAACATCTTCCATTGGAGAACTGGATTTTCTAGAGGCATTTCACATTCATAAAATTCTTTCTGTTCTAGTTAACGATCCTAATTCAATCCAAATTTGCCTTCGGCTTTTAGAGAAATTATGTTTTAGTTCTGGTTTCGCCAACAGATGGCGCCACTTGCTTATTCTTGTCCAGGCTTTCTTATCTATCTAATCATTATTTCCTATCTTGTTCATTTGCGGTTTTGCAGCTGAGATGATGTTCGGTAAAAACCGTCGAAACTAGTCTGAGGGGGGGGGGGGGGGAAGAAAAAAAAAAAAGGAAAAAAAAAAAGAAAAAAAAAATTTGGTAGGTATAACGCTGATTTTGGTTGTTTGACTTGAATTAGTATTTATTCGGCGTGTTATTGTGTCTTAAATACAGTACAAAGTCTGAGATCCGGCTGTCCGATATGCATAATGTTCTAAAATCAGGATCTCAAAACCGCCAACAGCCTTTTTAATAAATGCTTTATCCATGCCCATTTGACTTTTCCCTGATAGATAACACATGTATAGAGTTCCGATTCTTGATTTCCTTTGAGCACTAAATAAATACCTCGTTATTGCGAAACGATAACTTAGCATAAATATATGTGAGCAATAATTTGGCGCTGTAGCTGCCATCTCAAACCTAAACATTCTATATAGAAACATCGTTGATTTTACTCCTACGAATATTTTATATCCGTGACGGCAAACTGTCACATCATTAGTTGTATTTTACTTTCATCACCGCATGTTTATCAGCACATGACAAGTTGAAGAATGCAGTGATGCCCAAACAATTTTTTTTTATGTTAGTACAAAGAGTGTGGTAACCTTTTAATGCTGACATTCTAATGCTTGGCAATGATTACAGATTTAAATGCACTAAAGAATATTGCCGAGGAAAAATTTAACGAAAGTTTCTTTCCATATGCTAAAAATAGATTTTGTTGATGATATTTTTAGGCCAAAATATTACATTTAGTGATATTTGAATTAAGAATAACTGATTTGTTTTTCACATAAACCCGGAACCAGCACCAGAGCTCGAATGGCTGTACCGGGAGGCAGAATTTAGCAAAGACAAGATTTTCGGAATTTAGAGTAGCACCGAGCAACAAAATTAAAGTATGAAAATATTTTTATGATTCAGGGAAGACACTGTTATCCAAAATGTATGGGCTGCAAAAATTTAGAACTTAGGCGCTTAACTAATATTATCAGGCTTAGTTGTTTCATTGGGCGATAGAAGCAAGACAAAATTTAATGGAACAACTTGTCTTTCGTCCCCAATCTCATGATACACAGCCAATAATGTATAGTGGATGCTATTAAGCTGGGCAAAATTATACACTCACTTTCAAAAGTTAAGCACGGAAAGGAAAATGCTAATTTCCGAAAGCCAATCAAAATTGAAGAGGATGCAATTCGCTGCAGAGGTAGATGAAAGTATGCAAATATGTTAGATAACAGCCAATCATGCTTTCATGTCAAGAAATATGCAAAAAAGGCAGTCTTAGAAGTAGCCAGTTTTATGAAGGGTTGGAGAAGTTGATTGTACGTTCTGATAAAAGGTGTTTAAAACTTTCGTACAATTTGTTTTCAGGACATGCATGTTTCTATGACTTCCAGAAGACGAATGGAAGATTCTGAGCGCTGGCGTGCTGTGGGGCGCATTGAAGCAGGGCAGTCGATCACAGATGTTGCTCTTTTCTTTGGCATTCATCATTCTGTAAATTCACGTGTATGGAAACAATTCCAAACCACACAGACAGTTGTCCGAAGGCCTGTAGCCGGTCGCCTAAGGGTTACAACCTTCGAGGAAGATCGATATATTGCTACTGTAGCCAAGCGGAATCGCAGGTTACAGCATCCAGTGATAAGGCGATATCTGCAGCTACTGTATGCCGAAAATTACAAATGAATGGACTGTACACCGGGTACCTCGAGTTAGTGTTCCTCTATTCATTCAATCAAGAGGGGCACAATTACAGTGGTGCCAGGAACATATCAATTGGAATGTGTCTGACTGGGGCAATGTCATGTGTACTGATAAGTCAAGATTTGCTCTGGAGCCAGATGAAAAGCATAGAAGGATATGGTGTGAACAACAAACACGCAATCAGTCCCAGAGCATCGCGCATTCTCAGGCGAAAGCATTTATGGTGTGTGCAGCGATTTCATTTGGATACTGCACCAACCTGCACATCTTTAAAAGGGGTTGCTTGACGGATGTCCGGTATCGAGATGAAGTCCTAGAACCTATTTTGAGATTGTATGCTGCAGCAGTTGGCCCTCCTTTTGTTTTAATGGACGATAATGCACGTCCCCATAGAGCTGACATCGTTGATGACTACATGGAGAGTGAAGGGATTGGGTGTATGGAATAGCCAGCATATTAGCCCGACCTTATTTCCATTGAAAATCTTTGGGATGCTCTCGGCCGTGCTGTATCTTCACGTTTCCCACCTCCAGCCACTCTTATTCAACTGGAAACTACTCTGCAAGAAGAATGGTGATTGTTTAATTCTGCGATGGTTGACCATTAATTGAAAGCATGGTCACAAGGTGTAAACTTTCTATACAGATGAAGGGGGATAACATACCTTGTTAATGTCCTTTTTTTCATTTTATGCTGTTTATTTTCACTTCATACATAATTCTGTTATATCCCTAGTATGTCATTATCTGATAACTTACAAAAATTTAATATTGTTTTCATTTCTGTATATAATTATTGATTTTGTTTTATGCATAAATATATATGCTACTTTTCTGCCAAATTTTGTGTCAATCAAAAGAGTATTTGTTGATTTTTTGCATTTTACATCTTTGTTCTTAAGTTTTGGAAGTGAGTGTACTTTACTCATTCTAAGTAATTTCAGCCAATGTAGGAGATTACACTGTTCCTGAACTTTCTGATTTAATCCAGCTTTATTATTTTTTGCAAGCTGTTTTTATTTACAGCAGTTTGATGAAAATTAAAGTTTCAGCTTGCAATCATGTCGAAAAGAGTTTCCTGATTCTGGAGCTGTAGCAGGATCTATAAAGAGAAAGCATGTTTCAATGTCCATTAAACGAAATGTGGAATGGCTGCAGTGATGGATGAAGGTATATCCGTCTCAAAATTAATGTAAGGAGTATGGCATTGGAAGGTCAACTGCATATGACATAAGATAACAAGAAAAGGATGTTTCTGAATTTTTTGTTGATTTTGACACTCAGCTTGCAACGAATAACGAAAAAAAAAATTCATTCGTTATGCTGAAAGTGAAGATCATGACAAAGTGATAAGTGAATGGTTCAGACAGCATCACAGCGAGATTGTGCCATTGACGCACATGCTGACAAGCCATATAACTTAAGAATTGTAATATCTTTGGAACAGCTGCATAAATGCAGTACACTTGTATCTGTAGTCCAATCACAGGTGCAGTGGTTAATTATATTTCAATATATATGACAAAGAAAAATTAAGAGTTTAGGAAAAAGAAAACTACCTGGCTGCCATTGAGTTAGTAAAAAAAAATGCATCTGGTTTTAGCGGTGTGAAACGTATGAGTTAGTGTCTAACATTTAGAGTCTAGAATCATATTATCAGAGGTAATTTGTTTCTGCTTTTATTCATATGCAAAATATTTCTTTTAATTTGTAACAGTTTGCTACTGAGCTTAGTGTATCTTAAAAGCAGCTCAAAGTTTTCTAATTTCTGCTCATTAATAATGTCACATGTGAATTTCTTGTGAGGTGTTTTGAAATTGTAAAATATTTTTGTTGAGTTTTCCTGTGAGCAAACATAAGTGTTCCTTGATTTTTAGTTTATAATGTTATTTTATAGTCTTAAAAATGCTCAAACTACATGTATTATGTTCTAATTCATTGCGATTTCATGTATTAGGTGTTAAACTAAATTACATATTCTGGAAATTCACTTATGTGAAGTTTGTTTGATACTAGGTAGTAATCATAGATTTAAAAAGGAAAACATTGTGCTATATCATATTGTGTTTAACTTAAATGGGTAATATAAAACTTGAATTACATGTGTTAATTTTTTTAGATACTGTAGGGGCATAACACATTTTTAATACACACCTTTTTTAACACTAATGTTAATTTTTATGAAATAGCCTGATCCTGGAGAAAGTATTTTCATGTGCCAAAATAAGCACTGTGAATCTTAAATTTAGCATTTTCCGCTTAAAGTATGTGCTGTTTAATAAACTTTTTTTCCAACTAGAATTTAGGAATGGATTGGGAAATGTCAGAAGAGGATCAAATGCTTCGAGCAATAGCAATGTCTTTAGGAGAGAATGTTTTGGTGTCGACAAATCAAGTAATATTTGTTTTTCATTTTGTAAGAATTTTGTGTAATTTGAAATTATATATGCAACTTTTTAAACTTTCTTTTGTAATTTTTGTATTAATCATCATGTACTGTACTTTTGTGGTATTTAGTGTATCAGATAGTTCCAGAACGGTGTAATGTGGTTTTCAGCTATAGCTTCTTGTAGTAGGCCTTCCCAGGTTTGACATGCTACCTGGAAAACTAGGAAATGTCAGGGAATTTAAATATTTTAGTCAAACTCAGGAAAAGTGGGGAATTTCGTATGGCAATCACCAAAAAAACAATTTTCACTCCAACATTGGTAGCAATCACTTTCTTGGCAAATTATGTAGCACAGGAGTGTTATTCAGGGAGCTGGCGTAGAATAATTTTTGCAGTGCTAATCAGGTTGTCTTTCCGAAAGGCAAAGCAAGTTTCCAGCATCTTTGGTTTCCAGTAACTTCCAGAATCCAGAGGCTTGCATGTGCAGTACATGTTCAAGGAAAGAAAACTTTACCTGCTCATTTAGAGAGCTCATTTTTCTGTTTCCAATTTAAAAATCTGGTAAGTTAAACTCATTTTTACACATTATTGAATAATTTTTTTAAATGTATGGTTAGTTTATCGTATTTGCCTGTTAAATTCCGAAGACATCATGCAGCGCATTTGTCTTAGGAATGTGTCCTAGGAAGTGAAAAGAAGTCTATTGATGTTTTTGAATTGTATTACTGTACAATAATAAAAACACGCACGCACACACACACACACAAAAAAAAAAAAAAAAAAAACTTTGGTAAATGCCAAAATATTTATCTGTTCAGAACGTGGTTTGATTTTTAGATAATCTGCATTCAAAATTTTACTTTGAGGAAACAAGCAGCAGGGAAATTTACGACCAAATTGTGAGACAAATGTGTTAAATATAATGTTTGCTTTTCCTTTTGCTACAAACTTTGTATAGTAAAAATAAGTGATCATTCCTTCTCTCCCTTGAAATTTTCAAGTTTCCTCTGCTCCTCAGACAAAAACAAAACTTTATAAACTATTTTTTTTTATAAATGTCTCATTTGTCATTTTGCAGTAAAATTGCCAGTCATCTAGGCTAACCATTTAATGTATCTGTATTCGTGAAACTATCATTGATTATTGTAATTCAGTTTTTAATTAATTAACTTTATTTTAATGTTATTCATAACATTAAATGTTGGTTTCTCCTTTTAAATTTAATTATTAGTTAATTATATTTTCAAATTTCAGGCAGTTTACTCTGCCATACTGCTGAACCTTATTCGAGCAGTACGATGACATACCGTCACGAAACTTAGTAGAGTCCAAAATCCGGACGTCCATTATCCGGAATGATCTTAAATCCAGACCTCAAAAACCACCACCACCGTTTTTCTCCTAAGTTTTACACATGTGCATTTGATTTCCCCCCCCCTCCGTGCATTAAAAAAAACATGGAGAGTACCGACTCATAATTTCACTAAATAAAATACCTTGTTATTGAAGAAACAAACATTTTAGCATAAATTTGTACAAACAGGAATTGGGCTCCGTTGCTGCATATCTGTTTTTTTTTTTGCTTGCATCTCAAACCAAAACGTTCCACATAGATACATCGTTGATCTGACTCTAACCTGGCGGATCATTATTTATTATACTTTCATCACCTCATGTTTGTCGAAACGTGAGAACTTGAGTAATGAGACATGTAGCAATGCTTAAACAATTTTTTTATGTTGGTATTTGAATAATAAAAGAATATAGTAAATTTTTGTGTTGACATTACGCTTGACATTTTTAAGCACATTTAACTTAAATCACAAATTTAAGTTAAATGTGCTTAAAAATGTTGATGAGGAAAATTTTACCAAAAATTTCTTTCCATATCCTAAAAGTAGGTTTTATTGATGATACTCATAGACTCAAAGAACACATTTAGAAAAACTGATTTGTTATTCACATAAATCCAGAACTAACGCCAGGGCTCTTATTGCCGCACGGAGTAGCAGAATTTAGGACCCACAGAGACTGCATCAGGCAGTAAAATATCTAGCGCCTGCCCTCAATAAAAGTATATGTGGGAATTTATTTATTCGGAACTCTAATAAGCCTTGAGCATGTGTAAGAAATAGACATAAGTATAATAAATAACTAATAAAATTCAGGCTTAATTGTCTCAGTGTACGAACGGAGCAACTTGTCATTAGTCGCCAAGCTCATGATGCATAACCAAATATGTATAATTTAGGATAGTTAAATTTTGATGATGATAGCCTCTAATTTTAAAGGTTTTTGGATATCGCAAAACAAAGGTGAAATTTTCCAATTAACGGATTTTTGTAAAGAAATGTGGAGAAGCAGTAATAAATGAAGCTATAAAAGTTTTTCACTGTGATGACAATGCTTCTCACTCATCTATCAATTAATGAATAGAAAAATCTGCAGTATGGTTCTAGATCCAGAAAATACCGCTACTGATAGTGAAGAGACACAAAAGTTACTGAAAATGAAAAGATTTCATTTGACAAGTTAGTCAGAATTATCTGACTTCAACAATGTAACTGAACAAGAGATTATGTCTGTCAACAGAATTAGAGAGAAAGTAGTAGTTAAAATGATGGCCACGAATTTTAAAGGTTTTCAGATTCGCAAACAAAGGTGAAATTTTCCAGTTAATGGATTTTGTAAAGAAATGTGAAAAAACTAATAAATGAAGGTGATATAAAAAAAAACTTTCTTTGTGATGACAATGCTTCTCAATCATCAATCAGTTAATGAATGCAGAAATCCTTATTATAGTTCTAGATCCAGAAAATACTGCTGCCTATAGTGAAGAAAGTGACTGAGAAGTTACTGAAAATGAGAAAATTTCGATTGACAAATTAGAAACAGCAGTTATGGGACTTTAGTGTAACTGAACAAGAGATTATGTCTGTCTGCAGAATTAAAGAGAAAGTATTAGCACAAAAATCGGAGCAACTTTGAACAACTTTGAAAGAAATGTTTAATAATGTAAACAAATAAATATTTCATAAATAATGATTTTTTGTTTTTAATCTTATAATTTCTATATTCCATTTTACTAGATTTAAATTGCTGATCTAATATTCGGTAAAATCCCAAATCCGGAATCGTCAAAGTCCCGATGAGCTCGGATTTCTGACTTTGTACTGTGCACATATTTTTGGTTATGTATGCCATGATATAAATATAAAATATTTGAATTTATTTAAAAATATCATTAAATAAATTTCTTTCTTTCCTTTAGCTTCAAAATGTCTGCAGAAAGACATTTTGTAATCGAGATTGGGCAGATTATTATCTCAATGTTCAGTGGAGTCCATAGTTGCAATTTATTGAAGGAGCTCCTAACATGGCAAGATGCACATTTTGGCAAAAAAAAAAAAAAAAAAAAAAAAAAAAAAGAAATATGGTGCTTAGTGACATGGTGTGGAAATCAGTCACAAGCAACAAATAAGTCATGAGGAAATTATTTTTATTTCCATCACTAAATTTATGATTTTTTCCACTAAATTTTCATGAAGTAAGACTGTGTGAATACATGCATGGTGCAAAGACAGCTGTTGATATTTTTCCTCATGTGAGAAACTTTATAGTCATTGGAACTGCCGAAAGTTGAAAGACTGAGGGAAGCTGTTAAACAGAAGCTTTGTTTGGCAAAAATCTATTCTTTCTTTTCTGTTGGAGGAGTTCTACATCAATTTCTAAAATCATTTTGGACAGCTGATCTTACGTGTCCATTTCTATATACAGCTTTCCATAGTATGCTAAGTCATCTTCTGTCCAAATTTGTCAGAAGAGATTTACTGTGAAAGGCAAAACTTCTGAATAATTGATAAAAATATATATTCCAGATCAAACCATTTATTGTGATGTTGCAGATATAGATTCGGGTATTGCTGCTTCTACAGGTTTAGCTAAAAAAAGTATCTGATCCAAAGAAGAGAATTCAGAACTCTGTGTAGAACCTTTATGACTAAGCTTGCATCAGAAATAGTTGAAAGAATGAAAGAAGCCCATTTACGAGGGCTATCCAGAAAGTAGATTACGTTTTGGAATAAAAAAATAAACAAAGTATAGGAAACAAATTTTATTATATACAGATGAAAGCCACACTCAAATACTACTTTCTACATAGTCACCATACAAATTAAGGCATTTATCGTAGCGATGTACGAGCTTGGAAATTCCTTCGTCGAAAAATTCGGCCGCCTGCGCCTTCAACCACTTCGTTACCTCTTCTTGCCTTCCATCTTGCACAAAACTTGTGGTAACCAAGCTTTTTCGCTGATGATTTCGTGCAACAAAACTTCGCGAAATTTGTGGAAAACTCAAAGAAAGTTCCATTATTGTGAAATTTCGATTTCCACGGACTTTAGCATCGACTTTTTCGAGAAGTTCGGCGGTCACTATGCTGGGTCTCCCACTTCGATCTTCGTCGTGAACATTGGTTCGGCCATTTTGAAATCTTATGACCCACTGACGCACTCCACCTTCAGTGATAATGTTGTCCCCATACACTTCACGAAGCTGCCGATAGATTTCTATCGGTTTACAGTTTTTTGCAGTCAGAAACCTTATTACTGAGCGCACCTCGCAGCTCGCGGGATTTTCAATTAACGCAGACATTTCAAACCGTCACAGTATCTGAACGGAGCACAGCACGAACCTCTCACTAGCACGGCTAGATGCAGACTGAGCTGCGCAACGCTCTGACCCCAAGATGGCCGTGCTAGCCCCACCCCTAGCGGACACAGAGGGAAACGTAATCTACTTCCTGGATGGCCCTCGTATATATACAGGGTGATCAACAAATAAGCTCTGATTTTAAAATTAAATATCTCTACAACAAAGATCGATCGAATTATGCGTTAAACTGTACTTTTATTAGCAAAACTGTAAAAATGGTATACAAAAGTTTAGAAAATTTAGTTATCAAAATCGTTAATAGATGGCGCTCTGCACTGAAAACTCTTTCCCTG